ATTATAGTGGAATTCTATGGTATTTATGTTGTAATTTATATGATTTTTTTTAGTTATTCAAATGTATATATAAAACCTAATAAAATTGTTTCATATCCTCCACATGCAAAATTTTTAAAGGCTTGGCAGCCTATGTCAAGTAGCAACTAAGTACAAAGGTCGTAACTAGAAGAAATAATTGTTTGATTTACTTTTTTTATTTACTGTTTTACGTTTTAGGAAAAATATGTTTAAGAACTTATTTCAAAATAGCAATAATCTATATACATATATAATGTATAATAACTGAAATGTGACTGTATTTTACAAAATACTAGTCTACTAAAACACAACCAAGACATGTTACTTTGTACAGACCAAAGGTCAGTTTTATGCTATTTGATATGGTAACATGAGTGCACGTGAGCTGCGTCATTGTAACTTTTGTATTGTTAACCAGCACTGTTGAAAGGTCAATATAATAAAAATAATGGTGGTTGCAAGATCGTTCAAATTTACCAAACCTGTACAGAGATTAATTACTGAAAATAACAGATAAAATATAGTTTTTTCTTAAGAAACATTTGATAACTATTTGGACATTAAATAAAATAAAACAAAAATAAATGTCTTTTACTTGCACAATCATTTATTTGTAAAGATCAAAAAATTAAAAATCTATAAATTAAGAGAAACTTAAAACTCTACATGTTTCAGTGGAAATAATTCCACCATCTTCAGAAGAATCCATCAAGAAGTACACATAACATTGCTTATAAACCTAAGGTACGTGTATAATTAGCATATATGTACAATGGCGCCATTTACAATAATTTCCAAAAATTTATTTCGGTGGCTCATGGGCTTAAATCTTTATTTATATTTGTTTTGTTTTTAACAATTTCTAAAGATTTTCTTATATTTAATTTATCTTTTTCCATTAAATGTTTAAGAATTTTTACATTATCTTAATGTTTAAAATTTGCCATGCGTTCTGCCAGAGCCGATTCACCCATGAAAGCAATGTAATGTTTACTGATAATGTACCAAATTTCATTAACATTCGCTTACTAATTTAAAAGTTATAGCATGAAAACTATAAGAAGGACAAAATGGTTACGAGGTTGGTCCCAGGGACCGAGCCCATGCTGAAAGAGTTAATGTCCCATGATTGATATAGTGTATGTATAGAACAAACAGAATGCTTCATAGATACAGAAGTCAAAGAATGATCCAGAAACTCAAAATTAGGGAAAATGGACCCAGATTTTGCATCCCATTTCATGAAAATGAAACATCAATTTCATCACAGAAAAAAACTGCCAAGTTTTAAATGTTTCAAATAAGGTAATAAACTAAATATCCTGAAATCTTAGAAATAAATAGAAGTTTTAAAAATGTATCCAGGAACAGTTTTCACTGACTGGATCAACTTGAGCTCCTCCACACTTCTCACCCCACTTGCTTCAAGATGAACGTCAAAGTTCTAAAATGGTTCTTTTTTCTTTGGTTTAGCATATTTATACCTGTTTTCAAGCTGTTTCAAAAGGGATTTTGGTGATTTTTAAATAATAAAAATAACAAAATAAATCATGCACTATTGGATTCTACAGTCACAAATTACTAGATTTACACTGCAAATCCAACTATAATCATTAATGAAAAACAATTAAAAATCATATCTGTAAATTGACCTTTCTTTCCACACTACCTTTCCATTGGAATAATGTTTACAAAATGTCAGCGATTGATATCAAATTATCGCTTTACCTGGTAAATTGATACTTCGTGACACCTGTGCCGAAGCTAGATAAAATGTAGTCCTAATAAAACCCATCAATTTCAAACTCGTATATAAACATTGTCAACAATCAAATATTAAAAATGAAGTATGAGCTAACCAATTTACATATGAAAGTATAGGAGAGATTTTGTAATCACATTGGTTGTAAACTTGAAATACCGTGATTGACAGATATGTACCAGAAGTAACTTCCACCCATTCTATGTCGTGATGTAATTGATACATCATTAATACCACTTCTATCACAGTACATTGTAGCGTATGTTATTTCGCTCTAGCCACACCCAACAATAAGACATATAGCAAACTGTTGTCAGGACAACATATTGTCTGTTTACACCCGATGATATGATAAACCAACTTGTTGTCAAGTCAACATGCAGTCTGTTTACATTTCCCATTCATTATTTTTTGGCATGCTGTCAGTTTGATTTTGGCAAATATATCTATATATCAGCTTATGCATTATGTAATCCGCATCACACAGTTTATTGTATGGCTTTGTTTCTACAAATTCAATGGCTAAAAGAATTTTAAATGGTTTTAAAGTTTTGTTTGTGTGTTTTAAAATAGTAAATGCTTCTGGATCCAATGAAACCGGCCAGACCAAAGTATAACATGAAAAGAGCTATTATTTGATGTATCACTGATCCATACTGGTCCAGCCAATTTATACTGACACCCTGTTTTTGGTTTCAACATTCACTTACTGGTTGCTGACAAATAGCAGAGGACAGGTTTAGTGATCAGTGCAGTGTTTTTAAAGTCATTTTTACAACTACAGTTGCCTTGAAACAAATCACACAAATTCAGCTTGTATTGGTACTGTACATGTTGTCATTTGTTTTATTATGTACAATAATTTGTATTTTGTTTATGTGAAATTTACATATCCACAACTGAGACTACGCATTCACACACCTCTGTGGCCAGGAACTAAATTTCTCTGAGACCCGCTAGTTTCAGTCTGTACCTGACAATGTCTTTATGAGCAAAACCCAAGGTAGTAAGAAATATTTGTGAAACGGGCAATCATCTTTGATTTTCCCAACCTTCTGTACCTAAATTGTTGTACCTGAAGATGTCTATCATATTAAATGAATGGTAGTTCAAAAAGTCGTTAAAAAAACTAAAATATGCTGAAAAATTAAAATAGGTAAATTAATCTCATGTACTGATGATGTAGGCTTAAGTTACTTACTATAGGCTTCTTGGCTTATGTCTTCCTGTCCAAAGTCTTCTGCTGAAACGTTATTTTTCAGATTTGTTAAATGGTTAAAGTGGCCAGTCAAAGAACTGAAACTGTCACTAAGCCAAGACATAGTTCAATGATTCAAATTTTGCATTTGTACCAGTAGCATTAAATATTATCATTGATTAACTTGAGTTGATGATGGAGTTAACGACGTAGATAGAATTTTCATAACTAAAGTTATACTGTTAGCTAAGTTACAATATGTTAGTATTGTTATCATTCACAATAATAAAAATAGCTCAACTACACTTTAATATACAGTATGTGACCTACACCAGCACTATACTATTAGAATTAGTTTGTTTTTTCGGCATTATACAAGATCCCTACTCTGAAGACACACTTAGCTACACGTATCTTCTGAAGTCAGTAACGTTTCCTGCGAAACTGGAACAGATGCCAAACTAAAGCGTCATCTGTACGTTTTAGTCATTACCAATAAATAGATAGCTATTAACATTTTTATGAGTTCCGACTAAATTAATTAGATAATACACCGTCAAATTTTATCTCTAGATGTATTTAGGAAACGAATAAGTATGTATCAAAAATAGTCATCAACAACATAATGAAAATATTATTATATATATTGCAGTACATTATACAAACTCATAGTCTTCACATCATAGTCTCTTTCCATCTTAAGGTCGACATTCGTAGTGAGAGCAGCACAGACTGCCCATTGTATAGTTCCCTGCTGAACAACAAACAAACATTTTACGTCTTGAAAGTAGGGTTCTCCACTAAATTTCTGATTCTTATATAATTGGAAATAGATACGTATTTCCTTGATTAATTAACAGGATACATGCGTTGATATTAATTCAAATCTATGGTTGACATAAATACGTAGATCAGTTCTAATTTCGTTTGTCTGTTTGTTGTTAAGCGCAAAGCTACACAGTGTGAAAAGCCATCGGACTTACCGCTAAGTCACCGGGGGGGGGGGCTGTTTTATAATTACTGTAGTTAATACTGTTACGTCTCCGTTCGTTAGTTAATTTTCCGTAAATTCGTTCTGACGAAACTTTACCGACACAAGACTTTCTTAAATAAAACTGGTTTATTCTTTCTGAATATAACTTTGCGATATACTTAATTTCAACAGTCGCTCTATAACAACGCTATAATTCTCAAAGAACGTCTCACGTTCTCGTGCTCGACAATACTCAGTTCAATTACTCATTACACTGTTCTCCCGTCACGTTGTGAACGTCTTATATATATATACCAGACTACCCCCCAATCTAGTAACCTCCCGACAATTCATAAAGGTTCGAGAAGGAGTGGCGTGATACTAGTCACATGACCTCGCTGACGCAACAATACATTAAAATGAAGACTTTAGGAGACAAAGCTGATAAACAACAGAAATAAAAATAAAAAGTTTCTTTACTAAAATACGGTCCGTGTACAGAAGTGAGTTATTCAAGTAATATAAAACATAAGAATATTGTTACGTCTCCGTTTGTTAATTAACTTTTCCGTAACTTTGTTCCGACGAAATTTTAACGACACAAGTCTTTACTTAATAAAACTGGTTTATTCTTTCCGAATATAACTTTACCGATACACTCGACTTCAACAATCGCGCTAAAACAAACGCTATATCAACGAACGTCAATAATACTTCTGACTGCAGATCAATTACACACTGTCTACACACACATTACCATCCCGCGTCACGTTGTCCCCTCTTATATATATCCGCCTACCCTATATTTAGTAAGAACTTGAACATTCGCCAAAGTACAGGATAATTCTAGAAAGGAGAGAGCGTGAGAATCACATGATCTCGATGACGCAACAATATAAACTGTAAATTAATGTTTTGTTAGTAAAAAAATATACTCCTACATCATAATGACTTATATAGATTATCACTGTTTCATAATAAACAAATTCTTATAAATTATGCAATGTTTACTTGACATCAAATCTGTACAATGCCTCTAACACATGCACGTAATACTTATTAGAAATAGCTTCAGCACACAAGTTTAATTTATAACTATTTGAAATTAAATTTTCCTACGTAACAAATCTTAGCTTTACACACTGATCATCATTGCAGATATATTGGTGATATTCTTGCTGTTTTGTTGTTGTTGTTTTATTACTAAGCACAAAGCTACACCAAGGGCTATCTGTGCTCTGCCCACCACGAGTATCGAAACTCGGTTTCTAGCAGTATAAGCCAGCAGACATACCGCTGTGCCACTGGAGGTCAGTGATATCCTTTGCCTAATTATCAAGGTTTTCTTCGCAACAACCAAACTCACTTATCCACCAAAATTCAGATAATATTTTTTTTATTTTATAAACCTAAAACACAATTTTATATTGTTACGACGTCGGGGGTCACGTGATGCTAGTATCACGCCACAGGCTTCTCGAACGTTCACGTCCCTTCCTGAAATATCGGGAGTTTACTAGATCTCGGTATTCTTGTATTTATAAGATGGTCACAAAGTGACGGAAACAATGTGTGTAATTGAACTGAGTATTGTTGAGTCGAGCACGTGGGAGGGTCGT